ATATATATATATATATAAAAATAAATAAATAAATCCATTCTAACCATAAAGGGATAACTTTTCACCACGGGATTCGAACACAGGACGGCCCTCGTTTCGTTCACAGGATCGGGGTCAGGAAAGTATCTAGCCTAAGTCAGCCCCGGGAACGAGCCCCCACCTCCTCCCCCTTAACGGTTTATGCCGTTAAGATCTGCTGGTTTTTTGCGTCTTCTGGAAAAGGAGACCAGCCGGGCAGGGGTGATTCTGCGCTTACTTTCCCTACCGCTTCGTAAAGCGCTTGGTGCGTCGATCGTGCGCGCGGCTTGCATGAAAACGTGCCTAAATTGGACGGCATAGAACCCGGGGGGAGGCGGATGGGCTCACCCGCGATTTCCACTACTGTTTCGTGCGAACCGATACGAAGCGGCTGAGTATCACCTCTGAAGCTGGAGCGCACCCACACACCCCCTCCCTCCTCCTATCGTAGTCACACATACACACCCAAGGCATGCACCCACAAGCACACACAACTCCTGAAAACAGGGTTTAGGTAGGCAGTAGATCGCAAGAAAAAAAATAACGCACAGATCCTAAGAAGGGGGAAAACATCCTCCTTCTCCGCTTTAGAGAAAGAGAAAGAGTGGAATGTCGAGAGTCACAACCGTGTTTCATCGCCGTTGTTCACAACTAAAAGCAACAGTGGTTTCTACACGCGGGAAGTCAATGGCAGTAAAATCGCCGTGGTTTCGGAGGAGGGAGGAGAACGTCACGGCCGGCGGGAGAATTCCCACCCGGGGCCGACCCTCGAAAAGGAGGCGTTAACTCCCCAACGCCACGTGAGCTCCCCGGAGACACTTAAGGGAGAAAACTGGCAGTACGAGTCGAATAAGTTAATAAATAAATAAAAGTTAAGAGGAGATCACCAGGTCCGGGGATAGGAGGAGAGGTGACCAAGACACTGAGGACTAGCAGCGTGGCCGAGAAGACTAAACGAGGAGTGACTCCGAAGAGAGAGAGAGAATTTCTCCCGGATCTTCTCAACGAGCCAACTGGAATCTTCCGATTTCCAGATATTTGGGGAAGAGGAAGGCAGGGATACAATTCCAATATCGGGTATGATCCGTGTGGCAACTAGGAATTGCTCGGTGGCGGAGAAATGGGGGTCAGGAGCCCACCGAATTGGGGAAGGGAGAGGGGAGAACCATGGAGGCAAGAATCGGGCAGGCGGGCCTTGGTCCTCGAAGGTTTTGTCGTTTAAAAATCAAGACACTGAAAAAACCACGGCGGGAGCGACACATAGAAAGTCTAGATAGAAATCTACAAACAGACAAAATATAATATAATATAATATATATATATTTTATGTATATATATATATATATATGTATATATGTATATGTATAAATAACAAATCGGGCTATTTACAAGACACCCACACGCAACGCCACGCTCACGCACACACGCGGGGAAGGGAGGGGGAGGGAGGGAGGGAGGAGGGGAAAGGAGGAGTCGGGAGGGGCGGGGTATGGCGGGAAAGCTGGGCGCTGGAAGACTCGGGCCCCTGCGCCTCTCCTGGCCGCTGCTCCTGGTTGGGGAAACGTCTCGGAGAATTCCCACTAAGTACTGAAGTAAACTGCGGAAGAAGAAAAAACAAAACAATATTTTATAAGAAATCCTCCACAAATGAACGATTGTAATGGACGCCGCCCATTATGGTCGTTAGGTCACTAAAAACGGTCGTTCCGGTGACCGGTTCAGTTTTGGGAGCTTTTTTTTAGGTCACTAAAAACGGTCGTTCCAGTGACCGGTTCAGTTTTGTGAGCTTTTTTTTCTCTTTTTAACGGCGGTCACGGTTTGCTTTGAATGTGGTTTTTACACACACACACACACACACACAAACACACACACTATGCCCCATTTTTCCTGGCAGAAGGTTATGAAAACAAACTAAAAAAAACAAAGGCCGAAAGCATTTGCGCGTCCAAGAAGGGATGGGAAAAGAGAAAGGGAGAGAGGAAAGAGAAAGAAAAAGAAGGAAGCGTTGGGAAGGGAGAAGAAAGGAGAATGAAGACGGAAGGAAAAAGAAAAGGGAGGGAGGGGTTGAGGAAACAAGGGAGGAAGGAAGGGATTGAGAGGAGGGAGGGAGGGAGGGTTTGAGGAAGGAGGAAGGGAAGGCAGGAAGGAAGGGACTGGGGAAGGTGGAAAGAAGGAAGGAGAGGATTGAGAGGAGGGAGAGAGGGAAGGAGGAATTGAGCAAGGGAAGGTGGGAGGAAGGAAGGGATTGAGGAAGGAGGAAAGAAGGGAGGGAGGAAGGGATTGAGAAAAGGGAGGTGGGAGGAAGAACGGGGTTGAGGAAGGAGGAAAGGAGAGGAAAAAGGAAAGAACGGAGGCAGGAAGGGATTGAGAGAAGGGAAGGTTAGGGAGGAAGGAAGGAAGAAAAGAAGAAAGGAAAGAAGGAAGGAGATTATAATGAGAGTGAGGGAGGGTCTCAGGGAAGTCCTACCTTAGCACTTGGTCACCACAGGTGCCCCCGACATGGGTCCCGTGTCATGCCCACGCCCATGGCCATACCCATCATAGCCATGCCCCCTCCAGCCCTCCGCGGCCAAAGACAACTCTGGCGGAGCCCTCCACGAAATCAAGTTTAACCCCCTGCTCTAAATCCACTCCAGGGATTTTCCCTGCCCCTCTTTACGCCCCATCGTCCCTGTTGCCGTTGTTGTTTTTTTGCAAGGCTCACTCACCAATGATGATGATCAAGATAATGGCGCATATCACCCCCAGAATTATCATCATCTGTCAGGGGAAAAGAAGGAAAGAAGGCATGTGAATCGTCTACATCAGACTTTCTCCAATAGGGGAATTTCTGGATTGCTCCGTCGGAGAGCCGTTTCCCGTCTTAAAGCAAAACCTTTCCAGATCCTCTGTGATCCAGCTCCTTTCAGATCGTAAAGGAGTGCTGATTCAACTCCCAGAATTCCCCAGCCAGCAAAGGTTTCCCAGGATTCGGACCAAAACAAACATCCCAATTGTTTCGACTGGGTAACTTTCTTAATAGACGGAGGGAATGCGGCCGACGTAATATATCTTGACTTCAGCAAAAGTGGGGAAAGAATTAACAACCCACGAACAAGATTAAATGAACAAACGAGTTAAAGGTGGGCTGGGTAGCATGATAAATAAATAATTAACTGATAAGACTGGCTGGAGAATTCTGGGAGTTGAAGTCCACCCACCTTCGAAGGGCTCCGACGGAAAACTACTGCGATGGAAGTTTAGAAGGGAGGGCGTGACGTACATCCAGAAGACTACAAGGACCCTGTGGCTCGGCCTGCTTTCAAGTGAGGTCCTCATCAAGTTCACCCCGCCTTCCCAAACCTGATGATCACCGGAACGCCGACGGATCACCTTAGCAATAGCTAATATCCAGATCATTGCAGAGGTCACGGAAGGAGGTCAGCATTCCCACCAAGGACCCATTCCCCCCCCTGCCCTCCAATATCCTCTCACCGTTTCTTGAACCCAACCAGATCCTGGGATCTCTTCCCCCAAACCCACTTTGCGCAGGTGGTCCGTGCCACCTGATCCCGTATTTCTCTCCGAACGCCTGGAGAAGATTTATTTGACAGAATTTTTAAAAGAACCGAGTGGAGTTTTTCTGTCTGATCCACCATCATGAGAAACCCGACAGAACAATTAACCAGTGGAACAGCTTGCCACCAGAAGCTGGAGGGGGGGGGGGGCGCCATCACTGGAGGCTTTGAAGAAGAGAACTGGACAAGAGATTGGTCTGGGGTTTCCTGCCTGAGCAGGGGACTGGACTAGAAGACCTCCAAAGGTCCCTTCCAGCTCAGTTATTCCTGAGAGCAGCGGTTGGCAACCTGCGGCTCTGGAGCCGCATGTGGCTCTTTCATCCCTCTGCTGTGGCTCCCTGTTGCCAGTTGGGAAAAGGGAAAAGGACGCCGTGCTAGGAGACGACTCTACGGTGGGGGAACCGGACTTCCAGTCGGCTCTGGAGCCGCATGTGGCTCTTTCATCCCTCTGCTGTGGCTCCCTGTTGCCAGTTGGGAAAAGGGAAAAGGACGCCGTGCTAGGAGACGACTCTACGGTGGGGGAACCGGACTTCCAGTCGGCTGCAGAATTGAAAGGGGGGGAGGGGCAGGGGGGGGGGCCTTCCGGTTAGGACACTTGTGTCTCTTTCCGTGTTTAAGGTTGCCGACTTCTGCGCTAGAGGAATGGCGCAAGACGGCATCTCCTTAACCTCAAGAGGTCTTCTCGGTGTAATATTATCGGTGGCGCTCCCCAGGGTGAAGACGACCAGGTCCCTCTCCCAAGTCAAGATCTGGTGGATCCTTTGGACCAAAAGGGAAGAAGGCAACAAGGTATGTGGGCGAGGAGGAGGAGGAGGAGGAGGGGGTGGCCATCCTCCATCCTACCTTTAAGTTCTTCCACCAGTATTTGCGCTTAAGCTTGGCGGCGCTGGTTTCGAATTGGGAGGCTCCGGCTTGAAGGGCGTCGGCACGGTCGTCCAGCTCCGAGAGCTTCTGATCTCTCTCTAGGACCTTGTCGACGTTGACTCGCATGATGTCCACCACCTGGAGGGAAAAGAGACACCGCGGAGAAGGTGAGACAGAGGAGGAGGCAGCGAGAACCACCGAGATCTGGAAGCCGATAGAAGGGCGGAGTTTTTAACCCTGGGAAAGGAAATGCCTGCAAGGAAACCATCAAGGTCAGAGGGCACAAAGACTCCTGCGATCCTCCTCTCCTCCTCCTCCTCCTCTACTTTGCAAACCCTACTCCCTTCTAGCACTGATGATGTTACCTAGTTAGGTTGTGAAACGTCTGCAAGAAAACCACCCAGCTCAGTGAGCACCAAGGACCTCCCGCCCCCCCAGTCTTCCTCCTTCCTTCCTTCCTTCCTTCCTTCCTTCCTTCCTTCCTTCCTTCCTGGCACTGATAATGTTCCCTAGTTGGGTCCTAAAACATTTGCAAGGAAACCACCCAGCTCAGAGAGCATCAAGGAACCCCCAGTCCTTCTCCCTCCCTCCCTCCTTCCCTCCTTCCTTCCTTCCCTCCTTCCTTCCTTCCTTCCTTCCTTCCTTCCTCCCTCCCTCCCTCCTTCCTGGCACTGATAATGTTCCCTAGTTGGGTCCTGAAACATCTGCAAGGAAACCACCCAGCTCAGAGAGCACCAAGGACTCCTCCTAAGAAGATTGACACATAATGGTCCCCTCCATCAAACCGAAGGATTCTGAGAAAGACTTTATCTTGGGTGACGTCAACCTCTCCTAACCTCACCCCCAGCCAGCTAAGTGAAGAATTAAGGGAAGTACAAGGGAACCCAAAGGAGGGTTAAATGTCCCATAGCCCACATGGAGCCCCCCAAAATTCCTTTGAGCCCCCCCAAAACCCTCCCCCCTGTCTCAGGATATTGAATTCAAGGTCATTTTTCAAACCTGTAGTTCCTTGTAAAAGGAGGGATATAGCTTTATTTCCCATCAATAAAAACCAATGCAGGAAAACTCTACTTGATGTCCTTCCTCCTCTCCTCCCTGGTGACAGTTTTAAGAGACCAGAGCTAAATCGATCGATCGATCGACTGAAGTCATTTATTTGGTGGGCTAACTGATCAACTGCAGGGATTCGCTTAACGACGGTGGCAAGAAAGGTGGTAAAACGGGGCAAAATTCACTTCACAGCAGGAACGTTGGGGCTCCATCGTATACATTTAATAAACACGAATTTTAAAAAATAAAATAAAATAAAATCGGAGAAGGAGGAGCAAAAGAGGGCACAAGTGAAGAGCGAGAAGATAAGGTGGAAAAAAGAAAATTTGAAAATAAAACGCAGACAATTTACAGTTACAAAGAAAAACAGACAAAGGGAGAGAAACCCCCCCACACACAAAAAAAAGAAATCACAAGATAGTAAGGAAGGGAGGAGAACAGGGGAAAACCCTGGAGAAAGATACCAGAATAATAAAAAGGAATACTCTGAAGAAAAGATACCCCAACCATAAAAAACAGGAAAAAGAAGAAAGTTAGGAGAAAGGAGAAGAAGAAAAATGATGAAAAATGGAATTTGCGAGAGCCCAAGAGAAAATGGATAAAAAGAGGAAGAAGAGGGGGAGAGTAGTATTAGTAGATTAAATAGTAGTAGTATTATGCTTGGCATTGTTATGCAACGAATTAAGAAATAAAGAAAGTATATTGTTAATTGTAGAAAAATTGAAAGACATGCTCTCTGTGTCAAAACTTAACTAGAGGGAATATATTGTTTATTAATAAAATAGGCCCAGGGAGAAGTATGAAACGATAATTTGGTGCCGTTTTTCATGGGGCAACTGAAGATATGGACGAGGGGATAAATGGGGAAAACTCATCAAATTTGCAGATGACACCAAGCTGGCAGGAATAGCCAACACTCCGGAAGACAGGCTGAAGATACAGAAGGATCTTGACAAACTTGAACATTGGGCCCTATCTAACAAATTGAAATTCAAGGGTGAAAAGAGTCAGGGTCTACATTTCCTTGGAGTCCTGCGGAAAAAATCAGGTGGGACCACGGCTGATGACCTCTTTCTATCGGTCCACCATAGAAAGTGTCCTCACATATTGTATTTATAGTACGGTATGCTGGTTTAACAGCTGCGGAGAGGAAGGCACTTCAGAGAGGGATCAATTCGGCACAAGCAACCATTGGCTGCCCTCTGACACCGCTGGATGACCTCGCCAGGTCTCGCTGCTTTAGCAGAGTGAGGAAGATACTCGAGAGAGGATTCACACCCTGGTCAGTGTCTCTTTGTAAGAGCCCGAGGTGGCGCAGTGGTTAAATGCAGCACTGCAGGCTACTTCAGCTGACTGCAGTTCAGCAGTTCGGC